GATTTTTGCCGTTCTAACTGGGGTGAGGTGATATCTCAATGTTGTTTTGACTTGCATTTCTTTTATGGCTAGGGATGTTGAACATTTCTTCATGTGTCTATTGGCCATCCTTCTTTCTTCTTCAGAGAAGTTTCTCTTTAAGTCTTTCGCCCACTTATTTATTGGGCAATTGTTTCTTTGAGGATTTGTTGTTGGGTGGTTTAATTTTTTGAGTTCCAAGTATATTTTAGATATGAGACCCTTGTCCGTTGTATGGCTAGTAAAGATCTTCTCCCAATCCGTGGGCTTTCTATTGATCTTGCTAGCTATGTCATTTGCCCTGCAGAAGCTCTGCAACTTTATGCAATCCCATTTGTCCAACCTTTCTTTGATTTGTTGTGTTTCCGGGTCTCTATTCAAAAAATTTCGGCCTGAGCCAAGGAGACCTAGGGTTTCTCCTATTCCATCCTGTAATGTTTTCAGAGTGTCTGCTTTGACTTCGAGGTCTTTGATCCATTTGGAGTTGATTCTGGTGCAGGGTGATATATAAGGATCTAGCTTTAGTTTTCTACATGTAGTTAACCAATTTTGCCAGCACCATTTACTGAAGAGGCTGTCTTTCTTCCATTCTATTGTTTTAGCTCCCTTATCGAAGATTAGATGGCTATATGTCTGTAGGTTCATTTCTGGGTTTTCAATTCTATTCCATTGGTCCTGAGGTCTGTTCTTATGCCAATACCAAGCTGTTTTGATTACTATGGCTTTATAGTAGAGTTTGAAATTTGGTATTGATATTCCTCCAGCAGTGTTCTTTCCGTTGAGGAGCGTTTTTGCTATTCGGGGTCTTTTATTGTTCCATATGAATTTTTGGATTGCCTCTTCTATTTCCTTGAAGAATGAGGTTGGAATTTTGATAGGTATTGCGTTGAATTTGTAGATAGCCTTGGGAAGTATTGCCATTTTCACGATGTTAATCTTTCCAATCCAGGAGCATGGGAGGCTTTGCCATTTTTTTAGTTCTGTGTTGATTTCCTTTTTCAAGATTTTAAAGTTTTCATCATAGAGGTCCTTCACTTCTTTAGTTAAGTTAATTCCTAGGTATTTTATTTTTTGTGGGGCTATAAAATATTGTTCTTAATGACAGGTAACCCTGGTAACATCTTTGTAAAATAGGCTAAGGTTATAGCTTCCTGGCTAGGTAGGATCAATGCCCTGAAGTTAGCTTGAAGAAATTACAGAAAATAGACCTTTGCCCATCAAATCCCTTTTAAGATCAAAGGTCCAGAGTCAGTTTTGAAAGAATGAGGCAAACTAGATAAAAGTTGTTGTCTTGGTAAATTGTCCCGGGCCATTGTCTAAACAGTCTTAAAAACCAGTGGGGCCACAGCCTGCCAAGTCGATGTACTGTATCCTTAACCAGTCTGTGTAGGAATTTGCAGCCCAGCACGAGGTGTGACAGTCCCTTGGAGCTACTGAGAGACCCTGCTGCTGCACACCCTAATGGGTAAAGTTCAACAACAGCCTGACAGTCACCTGGAGGAAATCTACATTGTCACCCAGACCACCTCCACCGTGGTAAAAGTAGACTGAACTCCTGCCTGATTCCATCACCTGAGACTGCATCCTGGTTGAAAGCTGCTAAAACTTAAGATCTTGTGGGACATTCTTTTGGTGATATCCAGTAACCCTCTCTACTCCCATATTGGATATTGGGGGCAAGGAAATCACTGGCTTGCCTTAGGCATTTCAGGGCATAGTGACTGGAAATCTACTTCATAGTCACAGCCTGGTTTGACTCTGGCATGGTAATAACCTGCTTCCTCTTGAGTGTGTGTTATCAATGCAGGTAGTAAAAGGAATGAGACCCAGCCCTGCTCTTAGCCTTAAAATCGAGCAAGCTTCTCCACCCCAGTGGTGCCTTGAGGCTGTTCTGAGATAACTTGGTTTCACAAGCCCAAGGAAAAACATTGGGCAGTTTTAAACTCTAGCCACAAAGAAACTCAAGGTTTTGGAAAGAAAGAAGGTAGTAAAGAAAGCCTTGGGAAAGGAATTGGGGGAAAAACGGACTCCTGGATAAGAAAGGGTTTGAAAAGTAAGGATTGTCTTAAAATGTTTGTAAGTTTAAGTAGGTAACAAATGGTATGAGTGTGTCTTAAAATTGGAGGTTATAAGTAAAGCTGGTATAAAATTAAGTTAGCTGTGATATCCATAGAGTCAATGTTCCACTAATGTTGAACATTCTTTATGTCTATCTGTATGGTGGGGAGAAAGGATGGGCCTACTGAAATCTAGATGCTGGTTTAGTTAGAGCAGCCAGGTAGACTCATTGGCAGAGGTAGTCACTGGGGACTGGACTTCTCATGAAGCAAGGTAGCCTTTGTATTAGGGAAAGTTTGGCCTCAGAAGAGTCTGAGGGACTGAATCATGCTATAAGTCTCTCTTCTCATGGTCCCCATGGGCGACAACCCTAATAACTGTCCTGGCTGGCGTAGTTCTCCTCTTGCTTCTGACATTAACTGTTGGTCTCCATGGATGATGATCCTGATTTCAGCTATTGCTGCCCCCCTGGTTCTTATCCTCCTGATGTTACTGGTTGGCCCTTGTGTTTTAAATGCATTAATGTCATTTGTGTAGAAGAGAATTGGGACCATAAAATTAATGGTAATGCAGACCTAATACAACTCTCCCCCTATAGAGGAACTGAGTCAATGATTTGACTTAGGAACAAGTCAAAGTGGGGATTGAAGTGGACCCTGAGATGGGGCCCAAGCTGGTATGATTCCATTTTAAGCTTTGCCTTTGTTTTAGGGATTTTAGACTTGATGGGCCTAGTTCCCAGAATGAAAAAAATGCATCTGGTCCCCCTCCCCTTAACAACCTAACCCAACCCTGATTGTTGAGTTAAAACAGATAGGTTGTAATCTGGCCCCAACAGCCAATACCATGTGCTTACAGTAAACCCTGCCTTTTGCACATGCTTATGGTAAACTCTGCCTATTGGCCACCTGTGTGTGGTCTGGTATGACTGTACAATCTTTTGTGTGTGTTATGATCCCATTGGTCACCTGTGCGTGACCAGGCTCGACCTCATGGATTTTGCCTTTAAAAACCAAAGAATGGGGGCCATTTGGGGTCTCAGTATCAGTTCCCGAGCCTGTGCTGCGGCCCTGACTAGTCAGTGTAGGAACCTTCTCAATAAAGTTGCTTCTTTGTTAACAACTTTGTTGTGGTGGGCTCTGTCACTCCGGACGAGTAGGTGGGCTTGCCTGCCTGAGCAGGGGTCTTCCTACTACAAGGTTCTGCCTTAAATGTTTTGCCCTATTTCTGCAGCTACATTGGATTTTCTTCTTTTATTTTTCTTGGTTGTACCAGCCAAGTGATCTCAGAATCTCAAGGCAACTCAAATTAGGCTTATCACAGCTTCCATTGACAAAGATTTTTTTAAGCAGAATACTTGGTAGTTACAAGGTTTATATTAGTTACAATTATAGTTGAAAGCAAGTTAACTTTGAAACTATCATGACAATTTTACATATACACAGATAGAGACAGACATGTTTGTGCACAAATCACCAGCTATCTTAAGTTTTTTGGAATTCCTGCAGCAAAATGACATTTTTCCCAATCATGATGGAACCACGTGGTCCATTAAAAAACAAAAGCTTTGCCAACAAACAAAACTTTTCAGGAAACTGGAGACAGTACATGAGCACAGAAACATATGGCATGCCATAATGTCTCCTGGGCAGGTCCAGGAGACAGGGTCAGGTCAGGGGTAGGGTCACAGAATTATGAGTCACGTCAGCTTGAAAGGGCAGCTGAGCTGAGCAGCTCCAGAGTTCGGGGGCAGGGTTACAGGGAACTTGAGTTTCCACATCCCAACTTCTGCCTCTAGGAATTGAGGTATACCCATTACCTGAGGGATGGGTCTGACTCCACCTCCAAGAGCTTTCTGGAGATTTACCATGATGCCAAGATGGTGCCTGTTAAACTTCTCTGTTAGTAATCCATAGGCTTGTTTCTGGCCACAGAGAAGGGCTACCAAATACCTTACTCGCTATAGCCTAATGAACACAGCAGTCTGTTGACTTTTCTCCTCTCCACAAATACCTTTCATGGCCATCTCCCACCCAGACACTGTGTGAGGTATCCCCAGGTTCCCTAACATGATTGTTCCTTGTTTCAGGTCCCCAGAGCTCAGTCTCAAAAGACAAAGGGTCCCTTCTCGAGGGCACCTGGGTATAAAACTTTGTGCTATTGGGAGTGGTAAAATGGATTCTTTCTCCAATGCTAGCCTGCCATGCAAAGGAGTCACTGTCAGACAGAATTGTGAGTTTGTCTACTGTAGCTAGGAGTACCTTGTCACCAGGGCTGCCTGGCCTACCTTGTGATTGTGTCTTCTGCCCCAAAGCTGTTTAATTTTTCTCTGTGTCAGTTTTTTGACTCTTTGAAATAACTGTCCTTGGTTATCCTAACTCCTCTTACAGAGTTACAGTGAGGAAGCTCTGACACTATTTTCTAATGAATAATCAATTGTATCTTAGTTTTGGAGTCAAGGTACATTATGATCTTTGATGTCTTCTTGTAATGACATCCATATTTAGAACTATATGCTCTGGCTGTGCAGAGGAAACTAAGTAAAACTACTTTCTTGAAACCCAGTAACTCCTTGGTATTTATTTATTTGCCAGTCCTGGGCCATAACTCAGGGCCTAGGCACTGTCTCTGAGCTTCTTTTGCTCAAGGCTAGTACTAGTGCCATTTCTGCCTTTTTCTGTTTATGTGGTACTGAGGAATCGAACCCAGGGCTTCATGCATGCTAGGTAAGCACTGTACTGCTAAGCCACATTCCCAGCCTATTTATTTATTTTTTGAGATGAAATTTTTCTGAGGCCCAGGCTGACCTCAAATCTCTGATTCTCCTATTTTTAGCTCCCGTATTATGAGCTGATAGGCATATACCAAATGCTCAAGCCTTTTATATTAAAAAAAAAATGTGTCCCTTTAAATTTTTCTTTCAGGTTGTACCTACAACAGATCATATTGATACAGAGAAATTGAAAGCTAGAGAGCAGATTAAATTTTTTGAAGAAGTTCTCCTATTTGAGGATGAACTGCATGATCATGGAGTTTCGAGCTTGAGTGTGAAAATTGTGAGTATTGTGATTTTTGTTTAAATTGGTAACATTCTTTCATTAGCATGATATCATGTGTGGTTTATCTGTAGTTCGGAGTGTATCTTTTTGGGAATTTGAATTTTATGAGAAATATTGATATATTGTTAAGATTTCAGTTTAGCAAAGCAGATTATTTGTATATTATTTAACTGCGATGAAAACTATGACTTAATTTTTACAACTTGAATTAGAGATTCTGCTTATATGATCTGCAGACATCAAGATGGATTTAATTTAAGAAAATGAACCATATGTTAAAATTTTAGTGTATAATTAAATTACTACAACTTTTAGGATAGAAGTAGAAAACAAATAAGTATAATTCTTTTTTCCTTTTGTTTCTTTTTTTTAGCAATGGAGGACAAACAGTACTTCTGTTAACAGTGTCTTTGATGGAACATGCTTACAAGAAATAATAAGCCATAGCAGTTAGTTTTATTTAATAGTAAACTATAATTAGGCTTCTAATCTTTCCAGAAAAACTTGAAGTGAAACTTTATTAAAATGTTTCAGTTATTCCCAGCTGAAATGTTACCTTTTCTGTATGACCTTTCACAAGCCCTCGGTAGAATTAAATATGCCTTCTTCATTCTTGCATAAGTGTCTTTTGAAAAACCTTTAATTTCTAGCACTTACATGAGATCTGTCAAAGACAGATATTTCAGCATTAATATTCTTGAGCAAAATTGATTGTGGTAATAAAACATTGAAAGTATAATAAAGGGGGCCAGTATATATGTGTATATTTATTTATTTGTTTTTTTAGTAACAGTCATGGAGCTTAAACTCAAGCCTGGGTGCTAGTCACTTGAGCCACAGCTCTACATCTGGCATTTTGCTGGTTAATTGGACATAAGAGTCTCACGGGTGAGCTGGGAGGTTGGCTCAGGGTAGAGTGCTTGCCTGGTATGCATGAAGCCCTGGGTTCGATTCCTTAGCACCACATAAGCAGAAAAAAAGCCAGAAGTGGTGCTGTGGCTCAAGTGGTAGGGCTCTAGCCTTGAGCTGGAGAGCTGAGGTACAGTGCCCAGGCCCAGAGTTCAGCCTCCACGACTGACCAAAAAAAAAAAAAAGTCTCACAGACTTTCATTCCCAACTGTTTTTGAATTGTAATCTTTAGATAGCTTCCTGAGTAGCTAGGATTACAGGTGTGAGCCATCTGCTCCTTACTTAGTATATATGGTTTAAAGTTGATTTTTTTGGCCTGTGGAATTATAGAATTTGGAATTGTTATGATGTTTTTAGAGAATTATTTAGTCTAACTTCTATACCAGTTTCTAAAAGATTAGTTTATCTAAGGTTATAAAATTAATTGGCTAGCAAACTTTTCTATTCATCTGACAGGTATACTATTCTGAGATTAGATAGTTGTTTTGTAGCACCTGGTACGGTGCTACAGTACCCAGTTAAAACTCTTTCCAAATTTGTTTTTTCATTTAGCTTAATTCACACTCCCATTTATGCAGTCTCTTTAACCTGTCAACCTACCTACTGAATTGCAGTGTGGAATTTTCATTATGAGTTTGTACATCTGCATCGTATCTAAAGGGGTGGCTAAGTCTATGAATTAGGTAGGTATAGGGAACACATGTTTTTGAGGATGTAAGATAGGGAAGTAAATATATTCTGTAGAGTTAAGTCTCCAACGGAAGAGTAGTGATTTAAAGCTAGTATAAGTTTTGTAAATTATAAGCTTGCATATTTTAGAATGCCTGGAAGAATTATATTAGAATAGTGCTCTTCCTTGGTTGGTTTCTTCTCAACACTGTTAACAGATCAGTTCTATTAAATAAATACTATAGTTTCTGGCTTAAGTAATGAGGATGGACAAATTCAGTTCCCTCCACAGAAGCAAAGACTAGTCTGGTAATTATGGATGCAGGCCAGCAAAAATGGTTCTTGGGAAGCTGAGGAAGTAGACCTTTTCAAGACAGAGAGCATTAAGGTCAGTGTCTTGTTGTAGAGAGGGCTTATAATCTTAGAATGGGGTTGTGGTTACACTAAAACTATTTATATAGTTTTTAGCAATTAGGATTCTCTTATTCACTTGGCAAGAACAATTTAAATCACATAAATAGAAGATGAAAGATAAAGATGAATGTGTTGATTTAGACCCAAACTTCAGAAAAAAGGAAACTTCAGAATTATAGGAAATCAAGCACAAAGATACCGCTAATAGAGGACATGAAGTTAAAAGGGAGGGGGGTGGGAGTGTGGGTATGAGGGGTGTTTTAATATGGGGAAGACTTTAGCATGGTTAGATGATGAGTGGAAAATGGCTTATAGTAGATTGAGGGGAGAAAATGCTGTGAGAATTCTGAGAATGAGAGGAATAGGCAAAGAAGAAAAAGGCTTGAGACTTATGGTAGATACTATGTTAGATACTTACATGATCTCATTTAATTTTAAAGAAAACCTAGTTGCCTCCTAAGCGCAGTAGGCAGTGCATCAGTTTCATAATCTGAAGAAAACCTAGTTTTTCATATCCCTGTTTTGTAATTGAAGAAATAGTTTGTTAGAAATAGCTTGCTCAGGATCATTCAGTCAGTGAATCAGTTTGACTCTCTGCTCTTGCTCATCATTCTCTAGGATATAGGTCCTGGGGAGAAGGTTTAGTCTTTGACAGGAGAAGAGAGATAAGCTTCTTTGATGGTGATAGGAGGAAAGGGAATGGGATGTAGGTAAGTCTGTCTCTATTCTAGTCATTTATAAACCTGGAGTTTATCAGAATTTTAAAAGCAGATTAGAAATTTGTCATAATAGTATAAGGCAAGGAGTATTTGACAATATATTTAGTTCCAAGGAGACATTATGAGGAAAAACTATGCTTGCTCAGGATGCATGGGGTTCTGTACTGTACTGTGCTTGTTTTGTTTAAATTAAGCACATTCACCTTAGTTTTTAGGCACCCTGCTTTTTGGGAGGCTTCTTTTCACAAAAGGATAATGATGATAGCAGAGACTGACTTAGAGCTTCTCTAAACCTTTTTGTTCTTGTTGCTGTTGTTGGATTTGGGGCTTGAATGCTGGGCCTGGATGTTGTCCTTGAGCTCTTTTGCTCAAGGCTAGCATTCTATAAGAGTCGTAGCCCCATTTTCTGCTTTTTCTGAATAGTTAACTGGAGAAAAGAGTTTCAGCTCTGGCTGGCTTTCAACTGTGATTCTCAGATCTCAGCCTCCTGAGTACCTAGGATTATAGGCATTAACTACCAGTGCCTAGCTAAGTTAAAGTTTTAAATTTTGAAATTTCTTTAGATTTTGTTTTTTTGACGAGGAAGGGGTAGAACAGGGGTTTTCTCTTCCTCCTCCTCCCTCCTCCTTCCTCCTCCCTCCTCCCTCCTCCTTCCTCCTTCCTCCTCCTCTTCCACTTCCTCCTTATTTAATTTTTTGTCAGTCGTGGGGCTTGAACTCTGGGCATGGGCGCTGTCCCTCAGCTCTTCAGCTCAAGGCTAGCACTCTACCACTTGAGCCACAGCACCACTTCTGGTTTTCTGAGTGGTTTATTGGAGATAAGAGTCTCATGGACTTTCCTGCCAGAGCTGGCTTTGAACCATGATCCTCAGCTCTCATCCTCCTGAGTAGCTAGGATTAAAGTCGTGAGCTAGCAGTGCCCGGGTTGGTTTTCTTTCTTATGGCTAGCACTTTGCTACTTGGGCAAAGCCTCCTTCTTTGCTTTTTGTTGTTTAAATTGGAGCTGGAGTCTTGTGGACCTTTCTGCCCAGGCTGGTTTTGAATTGCAGTTCTTTACACCTCAGTCTCCAGAGTATCTATCTATCTATCTATCTATTTATCTGACTGCACTTGATCAAAACTGCATGTAATAAATCTGTAATTAAAGTGGTCTTACTGTACATAGTATATTTGCTGTTAGTATATTTGCTGTATGTTTGTTAACTGGAAAGATGAAGATGACAGACGTGTGAGAATGGAAGTGATTCTTGATCTGTTATTTATATGCATAAATTTCTCCAACTAGATAATGATATATTTTCTGAGCTACTGATTGTGAGAATAGATAATTAATTCAGGCTGTCATGTCATATTATTGAGTACTGCTAGAGAATGACATATTGTAATTGTTTCCAAAGACATTGTTAGGTGCTTTCCATCTTAAAGCTCACTTGAGAAGGTCATCTGATTGATTTTATTCCCTTAGAGCTTTTCTTGATTTAATGCAATGTACATTGTCATGCTTATCATCTTAACTATTTGGAAGACTGAGATCTGAGGATCATGGTTCAAAGCCAGTCTGGGTGGAAAAATTCATGACTCTATCTCTAGTTAACCAGCAAAAATCTAGGCTCATGTAGTAGAGTGTCAGCAAGAAAGTCAAGAAAGTGTGAGTGCTCCAGGTGCTAATTCAAGCCCTAAAACTTGGAAAAAAAATCTTTCAAATAAAATCATATCACATCTGAAGTGTTACCTTCTCTGACATTTTATTTTGTGCTGGTACTGGGAATTGAACTTGAGGCCTCTTTCCTTTTGAACTCAGGGCCTGGGTACTGTCCCTGAGCTTCTTTTGCTCCAGACTAGCTAGCATCTATCACTTCAGCCACAGTACCATTTCCAGCTTTTTCTGTTTATGTAGTACTAAGAAATTGAAACCAGGTCTTCATGCATGCCAAGCAAGCACTCTACCACCAAGCCACATTCCCAGCCCCAGGGCCTCTCTCTTTAACTCAGCTTTTTCATCATAACTGGCACTGTACAGCTTGAGTTGTACCTCTGTTTCTAGCATTTTGCTGGTTAATTGGAGATAAGATTAGTTTATCCAGGCTGGCACTGAACCTCAGTCTTCAGGTCACAACCTCCTAAGTAGCTAGGACTAGAGGCAGTGCCTGACTTTCTTAAGCAGATTTGTGTACTTTTTCTGAGTGCTTATTGAGCTTTTATTACAGCAGCTACATACAACATGATTTTTATCAGTTTGGCTGGTAAATTTTTTTTTTGGGGGGGGGGTCTGTTCGTGGGGCCTGAACTCTGTGCCTGGGCGCTGTCCCCCAGCTCTTCAGCTCAAGGCTAGAGCGCTCTACCACTTGAGCCACAGCGCCACTTCTGGCTTTCTTCTTTTTGCTTATGTGGTGCTGAGGAATAGAACCCAGGGCCTCATGCATACAAGTCAAACCCTCTACCACTAAGCCACCTTCCCAGCCCCTGGCTGGTAAATTTTTTGAACATTGTAATTTTATCTTTTGATTTATATAAATCTAAGATTTACTGTAGTTAAGAACTTGATTTTTGTTTATTGGTATTTTTTTTATTACTGGGGGTTTGAACTCAGTGTTTCAGACTTGTCTACCACTTGAGCTATACTTACAGCCCTAAACTTGGTGTTTAGTAGGCAATAATTATTTATTAAATCATTAAGCTTTTTTTCTTTTTGGTCCTGGGTCTTAAATTCAAGGCCTAGCCACTGTCACTTAGCTTTTCTTTTTTGTTTCTCAAGGCTAGAGTTCTATCACTTGAGCCACAGCTCTACTTCTTGCTTTTTCAAGGATTTCCTAGGCTAGCTTCAAACCACAATTCTCAGATCTCAGTTTCTTGAGTAGCTAGGTATGAACCACCAGCCACCTTGAGCATTTTTGCTCAAGGTTAGTGCTCTACCACCTGAACCACAGCTCTACTTCCTGCTTCTTAGTGGTTAATTGGAGATAGGAGTCTCACAGACTTTCCTGTCCCATCTGGCTTTGAACCATTTTCCTCAGATCTGAGGCTCCTGAGTTGGTAGAATTACAATCATGAGCCACTAGCTCTCAGTCAGCATATTCTTTATGCCGGTCCTGGGGCTTGAACTCAGGGCCTGGGCACTGTCCCTGAGCTTTTTGCTCAAGATTAGTGCTCTACCACTTGAGCCACAGTGCTGCTTCAGCTTTTTCAGTTTCTGTGGTACTGAGGAATCAAACCCAGGGCTTCATGCATGCTAGGCAAGCACTGTACTGCTAAGCCACATTCCCAGGCTCCAGCATATTCTTTTTAAATATGTACCTCATATTCTGTACAACTCTTCTCTTCCTGCCATTAAGACCCACCTTTTACTTTTAACTAAATTTGGTTTTCTTCAGTAGTTACAATTGGAAAGCATGGGAATTTGTAAAGGTGCTACAGATGAAAGATGTTATGAATGTTATAGTGCTGTGATAAACTAATCTTTGGCAATGTGAAATTAGACAAGAACATATTATTTAAATTCTCTTGCTTTTATTGTATGTAGTGAATAGAAATAGTAGCAACAAAGAACTAAGTGCTTCTTTCATTTGAATCAGTACAATATTTAAAAGAAATGAACATTACAATTTTTACATTACTTGAATATGTTTTAAATCTTAAATTTCAATTTCTTTTGACCCAGAAAATAATTGTTCTACTTCTGCAGGAAACTGAAATCATGTTGTTAAGTAATTTGTACAAGTTTTGAGGTTAGACTTAGGACATATAATTCAGAGATTCTATATACAGTTGGTCTTTGATTTAGAATGGCTCAGCTTAGGATTTTACTTTATGATGATATGAAAGTGACATACATTTAGTAGAAACTGTATTTTGGATTTTAAATTTTGATGTTCTTTTAGGCTAGCATTGTGGAATGATACGCTCATGATGCTGGGCAGTGTACCTCAGCTTTCATTCAGCCACATGATCACTGGGTAAACCACTGATACTTTAGTGTATATTGTGTTGCTAAGCATGGTTATATATTACTTCCATATTTCAATTTGTTATAGATTTATTTGGGTAGTGACCTTATAAATCAATGAGTATTTATACTGTTAATTTCATCTTTAGTGATTTTTCAAAAAATATTTTTTCTTTTAGCACAGTAATAAAGTTTTCAATTTTCATTTAAATATTAATATACTTTGTTTTTTGTTTTTTAGAGAGTAATGCCTTCTAGCTTTTTTCTACTGTTGCGGTTTTTCTTGAGAATTGATGGGGTACTTATCAGAATGAATGACACGAGGCTTTACCATGAGGTACTTATGCAAAGAATCATCATAATGCAATGCAATATCAATTGGGCCTGCTTGTTTTCAGTGTGAGACTTTGAAATTCAGTAATGCTTGGTATTATGTGAAAGTTTTAAAATCTGTAATCTTGAGGTTTTCAGTTTATTGTTGACTGTACACTGTTGTCTAATAGTATATCTTTTTTTCAAAACGTTTTCTTTTTTGTTTTTTGTTTTTTTTTGGTCATTCATGGGGCTTGAACTCTGGGTTTGGGCGATGTCCCTCAGCTCTTCAGCTCAAGGCTAGCGCTCTACCGCTTGAGCCACAGCACCACTTCCGGTTTTCTAGTGGTTTATTGGAGATAAGAGTCTCATGGACTTTCCTGCCTGGGTTGGTTTTGAACTGTGATCCTCAGATCTCAGCCTCCTGAGTAGCTAGGATTACAGGCATGAGCCACCGGTGCCCGGTTTTCAAAATGTTTTCTAAAAGACAATGCTAAAGAGTGAGGGGGTGGTGATGCTTTATAGTTTATTTTTTAATGTATTTTAAAAGTGGAGTGTTTAAATTGATTCATAAAAATTTCTCCATAGATGTATAGTAGTCTGTTTTTTCTGAATGAATTTTTAAATTTAGATTTGGGATAACATAGCATGATGAATTAGAGAAGCTTTTATATATCAACATAAATAAAGTTATTGCAACTTTTTATTTTTAAATTAGGCTGACAAGACCTACATGCTACGAGAATATACTTCACGAGAAAGCAAAATTGCTAATTTAATGGTAAATATTTAAGTTTTTTTAGAAGTTGAGTTATAATCTTTCAATCCCACCCATTCACCTCAATTTATATCTGCAAATGCATTCATTTATAGGGCTCTATTGGGTAAATCCTACAAAAGCATAACTTTTTGAGCTCATCTCACTCATGAGAATATCAGGAGTTGTTAGCTATCTTAGCTATCATTCAGTCTAATTTCTACATTTTGTTCTGGAGAAACTGAGATCCAGTGGAGTAATTTTACCTGAGTTCCACAACTGGTAGTGGTGGAGCTACAGCTAGCACCAATATGTGAATATGTGTTCTTTCCACTTGCTACCACTTTAGAGTTTCTAGCTACATTGTCCTTTTTTCTTCTTAAAATGTGGCAATTCTGCACTATGACTTGTTTTCTTTAGTTTTTGCTCCTCTGGAACTTGGAAGAGCTTCTTAGTACTTAAGATTTTATCATGAGTGGCTAAAAGGTAATACCTTTCCATAAACAATATTATTTTACCCTTATTATTTATTTCTTTTTGTTTTGAGACTGGGATTTGAACTTGGTACTTGGCGAATTTTCTCATTGGCTTGTGCTTTACCAACTGAGCCATGCCTCCAACCTCTTACTATTTATTTCTACCTTGATATATTTGTGGATAATAGACTATGCACTGGGCTGTAATTTAAGGCCAGTGCTTTCAAGTTAATAAAGCATCATAAACCAGATTCTTACATTTATTCCAGCATTTATAAATTATATAACCCTGTGGTCTTTGAAAATCAGTAGAAAAATGGAATGATTGACAGGAAATATTGGGCATTTCTAGGAGTGCTTAATGATATATATATTCATTAAGTATATATTTATATATTTGATTTGGAAATTGGTATGCTTTATGAATGCTTGAACTAGAATATTTTTTAAAAACATCAATGCTATAATTGAGTATATGCTAATATGATTTATGTATTTTCTAGCATCTTCCACCTGCCCTCTTCACAGAACCTAATGAAATATCACAGTATTTACCAATAAAGGAGGCAGTATGTGAGAAGCTAATATTTCCAGAAAGAGTTGACCCTAACTCTTCAGACTCACAAGAAAGTACACCCGTGGAATAGAATGTGATATAACATGTTTTCACTGTGGAATTTGACTGGACATGTTGGCTATTTGTAGGGGGTATTTTTGTTATGAGCATTAATTACCTTGCTTATGTACAGATTTTCTGTAGCCTTAAAGGAAATAAAAATAAAAATAAAATGTTGTAGGCAGGTTCACTCAACTGCTGTTTGTACGGTCTATCTTCAAATTCATAATCCAGATTTGAATGTTCTGGAATTAAATTTGGATTCCTAAAGTATCACAAAGTATGACCTCAGCAGTAGTGATATGTATATGTATCATGAGCTGTGGACATAGTATGCATCCATCATGAAACATTGTCTTCAACTGTGAAGAGACTAATTTAAATAAATCACAATACTTTGTGACTTTAATAGGATTCCTGATTGTGCATGTTGATACTGGCTGTTCGTTTTGGGCTTTCTGATATTTACTCAAACTTACGGAGAGTTGTGACTTGTCACTTAGGAAATTAATTTTATGGTTTAATGATCTTTACCCACAGAAACTTAAAAATGTATTTAGCCCCACATTTTAAGTTAACTGTGGAACTTAAAGCAAGTTTTAGAAATAGAACCAAAAAACCCAAGTGTGGGAAACTTAGGCTATTATGCACCTGGAAACTTGGACAGAATTTCCTGGGTTATTAGAGTTGTCTTTCCTCCATCTTTTCAGTACAGGGCCTCATTAATACAGATACAAAAGTAAATTTCAAATAATGTGGTTATTTTGATGATGAATATTTAACATTTTTATATTCTTTTCTACCTTTCTAGATGGTCTTCATAAAGTGGAAAAATATTTAAGCATCAAATAAGGAAGCAGATTCTTAAGTAAATTTTTAAAGAACAAGGAGGTAATTACCTCTTTGTTCTACCTTGAAATAACTATTACATTTCCACTTGATGGGTAAGCCATTAAATAAGATTACCTAATTCAAAGTATTAGCAAAGCCCTTCGATTTTAGCTTGAAGATAAATTTCAGTGAAAAAATACATTTCAATATTCATCAGTGCCCAGACTTTGATATATAGTTGTGAGTGAAACAGGCAGGGTCTGTCTTAATAGCTAAATTTGTCACACATAATTTTAGTATTTGTCTTAATTACCTCCAAAGTATAGGAAATTAGGATTTTGTTGTTTATTGTATATTAAATATACCTGTATTTAAAGTTTTCTCTTAGGATAGGAAAGTGTGATGATGTGTGTACATGTATATATATGTGAATATACATACATACATATATACATTTTAAGTTTAAATAGAACAGAGTCTATTCATGCAGATTATAAGAAATGAAAAACTTGTAAGAATATTCATTAATTGGTGTTTCCGGGCAATGTATATTATGTGTATATGTGTGTGTATACCCACATGTATTTTTAAAACTTAGTTGATTTAAATGTCTTGGTCTCCAAGTAGTCTTAGATTACTTATTTTGATAATGCATTGCTAAACATTGTGAAGATTTTTTTTTTTTTGGCCAGTGTTGGGGCTTGAACTCAGGGACTGGGCACTATCCCTGAGCTTCTTTTGCTCAAGGCTAGCACTCTACTACTTGAGCTACAGTGCCACTTCTGGCTTTTTCTGTTTATGTTGTACTGAGGGATTGAACCTAAGGCTTCATGTATGCTAGGCAAACATTCTATCACTAAGCCACATTCCCAGTTCAGAATTTAATTTTTTTTTAAAGAGTGTAGAAGGTGGTTAGGGTGAATATACTTCTGAAAATTTCATTAGTTTTACTCCTGTGGGGAAATACTAAGAAAATGTATTTGGCCATTGCTAAATATGACATATACCATTTTATATTTATTTGTTGCAATGTCTTTTATAAGAATAAAAATGAGGAATTCCTGATCTATGCTTGATTTTTTTTTAAAATTTATTTCAGCTTCTCTTCATTGAAGTAGAGTGGTTTGGGAGTATATCTTAATAATTTTTTCTTTATGTTCTAAACTTGGCCAACATTGTAGACAAATTATCCATGCAGACTAGGCTATAAATGAAAACTGAAGAGGTAGTTTACTTTTGGGCTTTTAATCCCTTCCCTTTTTATGTTTTCCAATACTGCTATGGATATTTTAATTAGCCAATAATTTATGGTGGAATGTTTTCCTGTTTTTGAAAACGTGAACCTGTTGAATGTCATTCTATTCAACTTTTGACTACTATGTGTCCAACATCTAAGATTACAGTGATCAGAATACATAATATAGTTAACCCTCCATATACATGGGTTTTATACATAAATTCAATTAAAAAAGTACTTGACAAAAATCACACCTGTATTGACCATATGTCGTCATCTTCTCTGAACAATATTATATGACATTTACATTGTGTTAGGTATTATAAAGAATTTAGAGATAATTTAAAGAATATGTGAAAATATTTCGGTGACATTTTATCTATAGATTTGAACATCTGTAAATTTGGTATCCTAGAAGAGAAAGGGATTCTGTGTATGCAGTCCCAGTGAATACAGAAGGGCAACTGTTTGTTTCCACACGCCTAAAGCTGAATGGAGGAGACAAAAATAATTACAAAATTTACTGAGTGCAGTGGTGGAAATAGTAAGGACCTAAGAGAAAAAAGATAATCAGAATACGGCTTTGGAAGATGCAGAAACATTGAGATTGTTTACAATTTAGGAGAAAACACCAGGCAATCTACAAACTTACTGCTTTTCTTCAGCAAATCACTAAGGAAATAAGTATTCTAAATCCAAAAGAGTAATAATTCCTCCAAGGAGAGAGGACATAGAGTGTCATCAGAACTATAAAATATGGCCATGGGGCTGGGAAGTTGCCTTGCATGCATGAGGCCCTGGGATCGATTGCTCAGCACCACATAAGCAGAAAAAGCAGGAAGTGGCACTGCAGCTCAAGTGGTAGAGCGCTAACCTTGAGCTGAAGAGCTGAGGGACAGCACCCAGGGCCAGATTCAGGTCCCGCGACTGACAAAAAAAAAGGGGGAGTGGCATAATAGAAGTGGATAAGAAAATAGCAGACATTTAAAATTCTTGAGTTACGTTGGACTAGCCTATCAGTTTAGAATAGCAGAAAGGCTCAATTAAGGGGACTTAGATACCTTCATAATTTCTATCTGAAGGACCAGGGACCTACCTACAGTTGATGAACAAGAAAGACTAGATTAAGGGCTGAGGACCACCAAAAATCCTGGTCAGTAGTTCTGGAATGTGGGAGAGTTAAAAATCCTGTCCAGGGGCTGGGAAGGTGGCTCAGTGGTAGAGCACTTGCCTTGCATGCATGAGGCCCTGGTTCGATTCCTTAGCACCACATAAGCAAAAAGGAAAAAGCCGGAAGTGGCGCTGTGGCTCAAGTGGTAGAGCGCTCTAACCTTGAGCTGAAGAGCTGAGGGATAGCGCCCAGGTTCAGAGTTCAGGCCCCACAACCGGACCCTCCCCCCAAAAAAATCCTGTCCACTTTTCTCAGGTGCTTCTTAGGGTGCTGTAGAGAGAAGCAACAACCCTATTACCACCACTCCTGGCAAAATCCATTGTTCCTGAAGAACACTGGTAAAACATACCTGTTTCTGGGGGAAGAGAGGGAAATTTCTCCCTTCTGGACAAAGAATAATCGCTGGTAGAGAAGGAACAAAACTTGTCTGACTTTAGATGAGGGACTATGAAATAATCTGGCTCTAAGACCCCACTGTGTAACCAGTTCTGCTGCTATTGGGGAGGGGGGGTCATACAAACCGCAGATGAGGTAGTTTAGCTATTGGGAAATGAGGAAAGAACGTTAAGCTATATCACAGGTCTGACACAAGGCCTACAGAAGCAGGCTAGTCAAGGCCAATTTGCTATGAATTTGGTGACAAGAAATCAGTCTGTTGCTGAGAAAACAGGAAGAGTGTAAATAATAGATTCAAAGTGATGCAGACGGCGCGGGCTGGGCGCTGGCATTGTCCTGAGCCTGGCCCGAGCCGTCCTTCCCCAGCGCCCCTCCGGCCGGCCAGACCCAGCCATGATCAAGGCCATCCTCATCTTCAAAACCACAAGAAGCGGCGGCCGTCCAAGTTCTACCAGTCCTACAGTGAAGACACCCAGCAGCAGATCATCCGGGAGACCTTCCACCTAGTGTCCAAGAGAGACGAGAATGTCTGCAACTTCCTGGAAGGAGGCTTTTGATAATCAGTCTTAAGCTGTGTAACTTTGTGTGGCCTATGGAGTTACATCCAGTTAATTGGAGACTCTTGACAACAAGCTGATCTACAGACACTATGCAACGCTGTATTTTGTCTTCTGTGTGGATTCCTCAGAAAGCGAACTTGGCATTTTAGACCTCATTCAGGTGTTCGTTGGAGACCTTAGACAAATGTTTCGAGAATGTATGTGAGCTGGACTTAATATTCCATGTAGACAAGGTTCACAATATCCTGGCAGGAATGGTGATGGGCGGAATGGTGCTGGAGACCAACATGAATGAAATTGTCACGCAGATCGATGCGCAGAACAAACTGGAGAAGTCTGAGGCTGGCTTGGCAGGTGCTCCAGCTCGGGCTGTATCAGCTGTAAAGAATATGAACCTTCCCGAGATCCCAAGAAATATTAACATTGGTGACATCAGTATAAAAGTGCCAAACCTGCCCTCTTTTAAGTAAAATATTAAAAAGACCACTCCCAGGTAAAACCCAGGGGAAAAAGTCATCTAAGTTTACCATGCAGTTGTTTACCAAAAATAGAGGAGGCGAGTCTTAACTTTTGCTCTTGGATTTAAGTCAAGGTACTGTATAGAAGGTGCGTAAAATCAGTATGGAAGCTCATTGTTGCTTTTCTCGCTCAGTGATTTTAAAGAAATTGAATAGTATAGGTCCTCTGTGTGTGTGTGTATGTGTGTGAGTGTGTGTGTGTTTCTAAATTGAATAGTATAGGTCCTCTGTGTGTGTGTGTATGTGTGTGAGTGTGTGTGTGTTTCTTTAGAAAAACCTGCATTCCTACGCCCACCTAAGGCATGCCCGTATGTATTGGCTATTAGTGTTTCCAAAAGTGAGATACTACTTTAATTATATACATGTCAGACTATTGGTGTTTTGTATGGATCACAGGTTAGAGCATTCTCTAATTCTTTCTACCGTTTGTCACAATTGTTATTTAAAGAACCGAGTATGTATTGCATGAAAACATTATGACCTTTTCCTCTTAGTTTAAATAAACTCCAATATAATTGGACTTCTGAAACACCTTTCTGTTGGCCTGATATCTACATTAGCAATAATTTTTTTTACAACCCTCTGATTCAACAAAGTAAATAAAAGTCTATTTTATCACTGTTAAAAAAAAGTGATGCAGACATGCAGGAAAGTTTAAAGTGAGAGTCAAAAGTCCTGTTTTCCAGTCTGTGCCAGCGGTTCACAGATTAAATCTGAGGGGAGAGGTTTGAAATCAGACCTGGCAGGAATGTCCACAAGACTCTCATTACCAATTAATCAGCAAAAAGGTGGAAATGGAGCTGTGGCTTAAGTGTGAGAGTGCTAGCCTTGAGCAAAAAAGCTCAGGGACAGTGCCCTAGTCCTGAGTTGCTGAAGCACAACCACTTGACTGTAGTAAACAGGGTTTGGGGCAAATCCCTTAAGTTATAACAGACCAAGATTCTTGGTAATATTCAAATTTTCCTACAGGCACATATCCACAACCTTTCATAAATGTTCTTTGTTGAAGGAGGTGTGTAATTGATCTGACAACCTCACTGTAGATCTGTCTCTCCTCTCCCTCCCCACACCCAGTAGAACAAATGATTCACCAAGTTCAAAACAATGTACAATTCCTTTCCCTTCAGGTAAATTTTAATCAGTTCCTTGATTTTGGCCAAATTTACCTCTCACACATTTTCAGCCAGATCTACAGTAGTGCTACATATACAATAGAAACATTATATATATATATATATATATATATATATATTTATTACATTTCCCCATGCTTTTTAGATTGTAAGTACAGCCAACCACAGCACTGGTTCACAAGTCCGCACAAGGTTTCATGTTCCGGTTTGGAATGCAGCATCAAACCGACAAGGCCAGGGGTTTGACACCTCTGGGTCTGCATTAATCGTAATTCTCCCGTCCGGTTGAAGCCCAGCCGGAGGGCGGGGCGGGCCGGCTCGGGGCGGGGCCGACGCGGGGCATGCTGGGCAGCCAGGTGGGCTGGAACTCGGGCGGGGCGAGCTGTGGTTGGCGGTGGCCGCCGAGGGGCCGAGCGGCCCGGAAGCTCCTGGATCCAGCGAGCTTGCGCAACCGGTGGCCGCCGGGTCTGGAGAAGGTGGGAACCGGGGCCAGCCATGGACAAGCTAAAGAAGGTGCTGAGTGGACAGGACACCGAGGACCGGAGCGGCCTGTCCGAAGTGAGCGCCCCCTGCGTCCCCCGCGGCTCGCGCGCCTAGGCGTCGAGTGCCGCGAGCTCGGGGACCCGGGACGCGGGACGTGAGGACTTGGGGCCTGCCGGTG